GTCGTCGTCGTCGTCGCCGTCGTCGTAGTCGTCGCCGTCGTCGTCGTCGTCGCCGTCGTCGTCGTCGTCGTCGTCGTCGTCGTCGTCGTCGTCGTCGTCGTCGTCTCTGGGACCATACAATCTGGGGGGGGGGGGCCCGAGGAATCCTGGGACCATACCATCTGGGGGGGGGGCCCATGAACCCTCGACACTGGATCGTATGGGGACGTGGAGGGCAGCGAGGGGGCCACGAAGAGCTGCAACGGGGCCACGAAGGGCAGCGAGGGGGCCACGAAGGGCGACAGCGGGGCCACGAAGCACATGCATATGGAGCCACGACGGGCGCGTGCGAGCGGGGCCACGAAGGGCATACATGGAAGGGGCCACGGAGGGCAGCGACGGGGCAACGAAGGGCTGCAACGGGGCAACGAAGGGCAGCAAGGGGGCCACGAAGGACTGCTGGGCCACGAAGGGCAGCGAGGGGGCCACGGAGGGCTGCAACGGGGCAACGGAAGGGCAGCGAGGGGGCCACGAAGGGCTCCAACAGGGGGGCAGCGAGGGGGGCACGAAGGGCTGCAACGGGGCCACGAAGGGCAGCGAGGGGGCCACGAAAGGCTGCAACGGGGCAACGAAGGGCAGCGAGGGGGCCACGAAGGGCTGCTACGGGGCCACGAAGGGCAGCGAGGGGGCCACAAAGGGCTGCAACGGGGCCACGGAAGGGCAGCGAGGGGGCCACGAAGAGCTGCAACGGGGCCACGAAGGGCAGCGAGGGGGCCACGAAGAGCTGCAACGGTGCCGCGAAGGGCAGTGATATCCCGATTCCAAAATAAGCTGTAAAGGAGTCCTGAGCGTGAGCGCGACTCCTGGGTGCCTGATTGTCGGGGGCGCGTCGCTTGAGTAAATTGCGGGGGATTCCAAGGCAAGAGCGCATTTCTTGAGTAAATTGCAAGCAAGTCGCCAGCGAGAGCGCGACTCTAGAGCGCCGAGAGAACGACTCCTGCATAAATTGTAATTGTGAGGAAGTCTCAGGATGAAGCCGTGGTGGTAATCTGGGTACCAGGGTCGCAATTTGAGCCGCGTGACTTTCCCTGGAAAAAAGTGCGAGCCCCGGGGGAAGAACTTTACAATGGTCACCAGGAGGGGGGATCAACAATAAATAGTCTTCAGTAGTGAGAGTTCAACAACAACAACAACAACAACTACAACAACAACAACAACAACAACAACAGCAACAACAACAACAACAACAACAACAACAACAACAACAACAACAACAACAACAATCAGTTTACCCTCATGCGCGATGCTTCCACACGAAACATGCGACCATCATGATAACCATCCACAGCATGGGTGACTCTTGTTCTATAGCGGGGTCCGTTATTCCCATTCCCAAATCTCCCGCCCAATGAGGTCTTGCAAACACCTCCTCCGGGGAATTTCAGCATATCCCGCCTCGAAAACACATGCCCGCGCCTTGCTGCGCCGATGCGAGACCGCCAGTGGAACCCCAGCGAAGGGTAAAGCACAAAGAAGTATCGAACGACAGGATTGCCTTGGTCGGGACGGGGGCTGTCGGCGGTGAGGCAAGGAGCTGGCCCTGGCTGGCCCTGAATAGAAAGGGAGGAAGTCTCGAGCAGGGCTGCTGTTGTTGCTGGGAGCGGCGCCCATGCTGAAGGGAGTAGGGCGCTAGTCCAGCGTAAAACGGAAGGAAGTCTCGGGCGGAAGCGCTGGTTTTGTTGGGACGGCGGCTTTCGGCGGCGAGGAGGAACCCCGCCTTGAGTAAGAAAGGAGGAAGCATCGAGCGGGAGCCGTGGTTTTGTCGGGACGGGGACTGTCGGCGGCGAGGAACAGCACCGTCCCTAGGAAAAAAAACAGAAATCTCGAGCGGGAGCTTCGTTCTTGCCGGGAGCGGCGCCCATTCAAAAGAGAGTAGGGCGCCAGTCCAGCGTAAAACGGAAGGAAGTTTCGGGCCGGAGCGCTGGTTTTGTCGCGGCGGCTGTTTTCGGCGGCGAGGAGGAGCACCGCCTTGAGTTAAAAAGGGAGGAGGCCTCGAGCGGGAGCGTTGTTTTTGCTGGGGGCGGCGCCGATGAGAGAAAGACAAGCGCGCCAGTCCAAGGTAAAACGGGAGGAGGTCTCGAGCGGGAGCGCTGGTTTTGTTAGGACGGTGGCTTTCGGCGGCGAGCAAGAACACCAGCCCTGAGTAAAAAAGGAGAAGTCTCGAGCGGGAGCGTTGTTGTTGTTGGGGGGGCGGTTTGGGCGGTCCCGAAAACCGCTCGAGCGTGAGCCTCATGTTCAATGAAAATGTAGCCGGCGCCTCGGCGAGAGCGCCAGAGCGCCTATAAGGGGTCCAACAATGATAATTGTTTAGTAGTTAACAGTCAACAACAACAACAACAACAACAACAACAACAACAACAACAACAACAACAACAACAACAACAACAACAACAACAACAGCAACAGCAGCAGCAGCAGCAGCATCAGCAGCAACAGCAACAACAATAACAACAACAACAACAGCAACAACAACAACAACAACGACAACGACAACGACAACAACAACGACAACGACAACAACGACAACAACGACAACAACAACAACAACAACAACAACAACAACAACAACAACAGCATCAACAACAACAACAGCAACAGCAACAGCAACAGCAACAGCAACAACAACAACAGCAACAACAACAACGACAACAACAGCAACAACCGCAACCGCAACCGCAACAACCACCATTATCAATACCATCATTAGCAGCAGCAGCAGCATCATCCTCATCCTCATCCTCATCCTCATCATTATCATCCTCATCATCAGCAGCATCATCATCGTCATCATCCTCCTCCTCATCATCATCCTCATCATCGTCGTCATCACCATCACTATCACCAGGACCGTCACCGTCACCATCACCATCATCATCATGATAATCACCACCACCGTCATCATCACCACCGCCATCATCACCAGCCCCCCCGCCCCCTCCCGCCTAGTTGAGGATGATCGGCGCTGATCGACAGCGACGGTGACACGTGCGGCGGCGGCAACGACGAGGCCGGCGCTGCGAGAGCCTCGGTTGGCTCGAGATGAGCCCGAATTTTCCTCCAGCTCTGCTGAGCGCTGTTCGGCCGCCGAGCAATGGAGCCACACTAAAACAAAACAAAAAGCACACAAACAGCAAAACAAAAAAACGGCCACGGCGACGGCGACAGCGGCTGCGCCTGCGGCTGCGGCGACTACGGATCGACTTCATCATCCGCCTCTGGAGGTCTGTGGAGGTTCCAAGAAGTCTCCAGAAGCCTGACAGGGGCCAATAGCGTGAAGAAAGCTCGATCCTCGATCCACGATCCTCGAACGCCGACCCTCAATTCTCGACCCTCGATTCTCGAACGATTACCATCGATCCTTGATCCCCGAATCCTCGACTTTCGAACCCCGATCACCACGCCCTCGGATCATCGATCCTTGAAATCGCGATCCTCACGCGAGGCAGGAAATTATGCATAGCCACCCCACGAGGGGTCGATCTTCGGGGACCTCGGCAGGCGGTGGATCTGCGCGTATATCTGGCAATCCCCAGGGCCCGAATAGCTTCATGTCCACCGCCTGCCGAGGTCCCCGAGGATCGATCCCCAAGGAGGTGACTGAAGGGGCCCCGGGACACACAAATAAATACACACAAATAAAAAGATGCCCCATATTTTCCCATATGTTGTGGGTTTCTGTCTTCCCCCCCACTTCCCATATTTTCCTATATTTTCTGAGGAATCGAGGATTAATTGTGTCTGTGTATTTCTTTTCCTCCTGAGTGACGTTGCGGATGAAAGCTACATCCCCGCATCGATCCACGACCCCGACCCTGACCCTGGATCCCTCGAGCTCTGGCAGCCCCCTCAGGCAGTCCCGGCTGGCCTCAACAGGCAGCCCGAGCAGTCCCAGCTGGCTTCCGCAGGCCCCTGGAGTCGCCCAGGGCGGTCTCGCCACCTCAACCCCGGGGCGCGGAGAGCCCCACCACCGCCGAAGGCGGCGCCAGGGTGTTGAGACCGCCCCGTACTCAGGGAGCCTGCCGAGGCCAACTGAGGCTTCTCGTGGAGCCTGTTGAGGCCAACAAAGACTATCAGGGGAGCTGTCTGTGCGCCACCCGGAGCCTTCTCAGACATGCGACGTCCTGATTTTTTCAATACGAGGCTCTCGAAGTCCTTCGGGGATCTGCTAACCCGAGTCAATGAGACCCAGGTCAGCAGGAAACCAAAAACTGCAATGCAGGAAAAAAACTCTGCAACGCAGGTCTTCGCAAACCCGGGTCAGCCAATATGCGCAGCCTCCTCGCGGCCACGAGCGGCTCGCTAACCCGGGTCAGCCAAAAGGGGTATTCACAGGATCCTGCAGTCTTGCAGGATCCGGCGCCCTGGCTGAGCCCCGTTTGCATTGACCCCCGTCTCAACGCTCCCGAGTCCTGGCCCCTTCTGCGGGACCAGCTTTTGATCCCGAGCCGTTTCTGACGGTCCCAGGTTCCGGCGAGGACCCCCGAGGCCGGAAACAGCAAAAAAACCTCCAGTCGTGACTTCTTCACAGTGCGAGCATGTCTGGGCTACCAGCTCTGGACCCCCATCCACTCAGGGGCGGCCAAGAGGTGGGCGTCAAAGAGGGGGGGGGCGCAAATCATGGCCAGGTGCATGCGCGCGGCCCAGGGGGAGAACAGAGGCGTGTTGAAAGTAGAAGAGGCGCCATGAAATCTGGGGAGATATCATGGCCCCCGCCATGATTCGGCGGCGCGCACAAGGGGGTGGGGGGAGGGGGGGAGGGCTTCTTAGAAGGAGGCTGCTTCTTAGAAGGCGCCGGGCCTTACATCTATAAATAATGCCCGCGCCTTCTGAGAAGCAGGAGTGCTTCTAAGAAGCCCTCCCCCCTCCCCCCACCCCCCTCTGCGCATGGCTGACCCTAGTCATCACCCGCCGCTTTGCCGCCCCCGATCCACCGATCCCTCGAGGGCGTGGCCGGCGCGGGCCTGGTTGATGCGGAGCCTGTCCGCCGAGTGCGGCGCGCGCCTCGTGGGGGCCGGACGAGGGGGGGAGGGCCGTCCTCTCTGACGTCCCACCCCTCCTCTCTGACGTCCTACCCCTCCCACCCCTCTCTGATATCCCTCCCCTCCTCTCTGGCGTCCTACCCCTCCTCTCTGACGCCCTACCCCTATCCTCGTCGGCGCGCTCGCCTCCTCTCTGACGTCCTACCCCTCCCTCCCATCCCTTACCACGGCGCAGATGTCCTCGCTATTCGCACAGTCGGATGTCGCAGCAGGGGGCGGACGAGGGGGGAGGGCAATCCGGGTGCGCTCGCCTCCTATCTGACGTCATCTCAATTCCACAAAACTCGGGAGCGGCTGCTCGGACTGATTCAGGGCGTTGCATGCCTGGTAACCGTTCTCCCCCTCCCCGGCCCCCCTCTGGCCTCTGCAGGGGCAGAGGCCGTTGGTCAGGAGCGAAGGAAGGACGCACACGTACGTGAGTCCACGTTGCGTTCGACAGGTGCGCGTTGCGCGAACGTACCCCTCCCTCCCATCCCTCACCACGGCGTAGATATCCTCTCTATTCGCACGGTCGGATGTCGCAGCAGGGCATAGCATCACATAGCACAGCATGGTGTTGAAGATCAACGCGCAGCCTGACATGGCATGGCGTGGCGATGCCCAAAAGTGGGGGGGGGCGTCTGCGACCCAAAAAAGTAACGAATCGGCACCGAATGTGTAATCGCTTCCGATGGTTTTTTCGGGTGGGCATTTTCTAGATTCTGAGGTCTATTTGGAAGGACCGGAAACCATGCCGTGGCATGGCGCTGGAAATAATGACAGCAACGCTGCAGCGGGAGCACGATTCGGAACGAGCGGAAGTGCGGAAATGAGGCCAGCGCTGCAGCGGGAGCACGATTCGGAACGAGCGGTACCCCGAAAATGAAGCCAGTGTTCAGCGAGAGCAGCATTTTGAAGATAGAAAAAAAACGAAAACCCGTTTCCCGGGAATCCTGTTTGCAAAAACCAGTACGGGGCCGAATATTTCCCGGACGTCACGAGGGTAGAGAGGAGAGTAGTATTCATAGTGTGTAATTGTAAAACAGGAGAACCTGCCTGGCGACGCTCTACTGTGGTGTATGAAAAGCAAAGGAAGGGATACGCCAAAACACCCAAACAACAACCTGTGGTGCGCACCCCAAAAACCCAGTGGAAATCACAGATCATCCGTCATACTCTTTTGCCTGGCTGCCCAATCGCAACGGCGCCAGCGCTCTCCCTCAACCGCGCGTTCTTCATCGTTTCCTCGGCTCGCCTAGACGTATCAGTACCCACCGCCGTCGAGGAAAAAGCACATGCTGTCTGGGGCGAAATGCATTACTGCACTGATCCGGGCCGCCGAGCGCCAAGAAAACTGCCTGGCGGCGAGGCTGCTGGAGAGCACAACGAGGCACGCGAAGGGCCCTGGGACCCCGAAAGCGACGGCAACAAAAACTTCCAGCAGCCCCTCCTCCCCCAGAACCCCTTTCCTTATTTTTGCTTGTTTGGGCACGCCTCGGGCAGACAGCTTTCGGGATTAGAGGAACAAGAAACGACATAGACATAAACTTTTGAGGCTCCGCGCTGACTTCTTGGATCTGCGCTGGACCCGCCCTCCCTGGCGCGCGGAGCGCGCCAGGGGCGGCGACAGAGGCGCCGCCAGGGGGTGCCCAGCGCGGATACAAGAAATCCGCGCGGAGCGCCAAAAAAATTATGCTTATGCAGTTGTTTCTTCTTCGAGGGACGTACCTCTGCTGGAAGTTCGCGCAGCTGCTGCTGCTAGGGCAGAGGACGACGAGGGAGCGAGGGAGAGGACGAGGAAGGGCGGGCCGACGGGGAATGCAGCGACGACAACCCAGAGCGCGCAGAAACGACCTCCCGAGAGCAGGAGGAGGAGAAGGAGGAGGAGGAGGGGGAGGACGAGGAGGGAGGAGGGAGGAGGGAGGAGGAGGAGAGGAGGAAGGAGGGAGGAGGAGGAGGGAGGAGGAGGAGAGGAGGAGGAGGAGGAGGGAGGGAGGAGGAAGGAGGGAGGAGGGAGGAGGGAGGAGGAGGAGGAGGAGGAGGAGGAGAAGCGGAGGAGGAGGAGGAGAGAGAGAGAAGGCGACAGAGCGAAACGGCCAAGACGCGAAGATGGCAACGACAAGAAGGATCCCTCTCCCGGCTGCACGCAAGAGGGAGCCTGGGCACGAGCGACCCCTGGTGCGCAGCTTCTGGGGGCCGTGGGGGGACCGAGCACGAGCGCGCAAGACGCCAATGCCGCATCGCGTGCGGCGATCGGGGGGCCCCCTTGGGCCCGCACCGAAAGTCACTCCCGCGACAGGTCACTCTTACGTCCAATCGATTTTCCCTCGAGGCCCACCTCTGCTGGAGGTCGCGGTCGTCCGCGTGCGTGTCCGCCGGCCCGCCCCGCGAGCCCCCAGACATTGGTGGCGGGCGCCAGCCGCCCCGAGCGAGGGCCCCCCCTGGGCTGGGCCCATGAGTAAGAACTGCTGTCCCTCCTCCTCCTCGTCCCCTTCGTCCTCTTCCTCCTCCTCCTCCTCCTCCTCCTCCTCCTCCTCCTCCTCCTCCTCCTCCTCCTCCTCCTCCTCCTCCTCGTCCCTTCGTCATCTCCTCCTCCTCCTCCTCCTCCTCCTCCTCCTCTTCATCCAGCTCCTCCTCTTCCGCCTTCGGTTCCTCCTTCTCCTCCTTTTCCTCCTCCGGTTCCTCCTCCTCTTCCTCCTCCTCCCCTTCGTCCTCCTCCTCCTCTTTATCCAGCTCGTCCTCCTCCTCCTCGCTCTGGCAGTTCCAATCTCACGGAGGACCGCCGTGCGGAGGGGATCCCCAAGACATGGCCCCTCCCCCGTCTCACGCCTCAGCTGATAAAAACAGCAGCCCGACCCTGTCCGATGAGCACCAGAATGATTTGAGATGGATTCCACCCCGCCCATTTCACGATGATGGGTGGTGAAAGCCTGCAGATTGTGGCCTTCCTTCTCGCCCTGGTCGAGTCGCTGGGTACGTTTCCCTCGGACCTTCGTTCAGTCCTGACTGCCCTCATTCACAATGATAGAAGTGTATGAGACAGGCCATAGAATCAATGCACCGACATAGTCCCAAGCCCACATAGGCGAACGGCTCGTGCTAGGTAGCAAGTGGGCAAAGAAAGGGAGAGGACCCATCGTAGGTCCTTGAGTCACCAGCCAGGCCGCTCAAAATGTGAACTATTATACCGTCAGGCGTTGCAGGCAGAGCACATTAGGCATGTGATGCACACACGCACCGCCATATGGGACTGTCCAACTACTACGAGCATGTGGCGCTAGACGCTGCCTGAGGCCCAGAAGCACACGGTCGACACTAACGTTTTGGCCATCACAACTAATCAGCGTAAGTCCCAGCGTCTGATGTCAGTTATGTAGCTAGTTGCTCACGCAGGTTTTGCTTGCATGGCCTTGCCAGCCAGCGACAATGTCGCCACTTACCACATCCAAGGTAACTGCATAGACGACCTCTCTGAATTGCAGCCTAGACTTGCAAGAGTGCAATTATGCATCTTCATCTTCGACGTCATCCAGCAGTCAAAGACTCAGTCATGCTCGTAGTCTTGCACATCATGACAGAAGCATATCAAGACCTGGCGGACCTGATTGTGGACAAGCATTGCAGAACAGAAGCGGTGGTTCTGGCTTCGCCTAGGAAATTGAAACCGAAGCTAGATCAAGTCCTGGGATCTCGCGGAGGTCAGCCAGGAGCTTCATCACCAAATACTGTAATTGACGTTTTTGGTGGCCATCACCATCAGCGAAGGATCAGAAAACAAAGGCTAAAAGCGAGTGAGAGATACACCAATCTTCGCATACGGCCATGTATAGTTGGTCACCTCAGGGAATGAGGAGCCAGCGTCAGCAAGCTCTACGCAAGAAGACTTCAGCAGGCAGGGTACTACGGCACGGAAGCTTTTTAGGAGCTGATGACAAAGAAGTGAAGGTCACCCAATCCACGTTTCGCAAGGTCATGGGCCCGCGATGTTCCACTAGACCTCGCTCCCTCGGCCTCCTCCTCCTCCTCATCCTCCTCTTCTTGAAACGACCCATTCGGAGGATAAGGGTTGATCCTTGCTTTAACATGGGCCACCATATTTTAGATCTCTGCCACCAAGGATGTCCGAGGTACCACCGTGCGCCAACTTCGAGACATCGTCGACCCCAACAAGCACAATCCCAGATCGGTGGTCGGAATCCAGGAGCCCTTCGAAGCGTGCCTGCTCTCGCTCTGCAGGCTGGGGTGGAAGGCCAACGGTACGCTCGAATTCAAGGCTGGCACCGCTTCCCACCTCGGTTTCGCCCGCTTTCCTCTCCGCCGCGCAGCAGAAGGCAAGGCGGGACAGTTCAGTGTAAAAAGCGAGCGAAAGGCCGGGGTAAGTGGCGGACCAGGTTTGTCTCTGCAGTTCTCAGTGTCCTCGATTCGCCCTCTCGGCCCCCTCGCGAGCGATCCATCCTCCTCGCCTTCCCCTCTCGGAATACATGGACCAACCGCCGACCACAGCGAGAATCTTAGCTATGGAAAGATCGATACACTCACGAACGCTAGATAAGCACACCCCCAAGCTGGCCTGGATGTGAAAGCCCAGAATGAGCTCAACGCTCCAGCAGGGCTCGGCCTCGAAGAAGCGACGCTGCGGGTGTTGGACCCGAACACCCTCTAGGCCAAGCCCTGCAGGGAAACCTCTATCTAGACAGCCCTTGTTTGGGAATCAGTCCTAAGTGCTGTCACAGAGATGGATGGGATGCTGTAGCCACTGGCACTGATCCCTTTCACCGATGATGCCAAAGCTGCTTTGCCAGACCTGCAGGGAAGGACCTGCCTCAGACTTCTCATACAGCTGAAATATTAGGTGCATATGCCACAGTAATGTTCGGAAGTCGAATTATCACTTCCTTGATTGCTGACTACACTGGCACGCGCAAGCTGCATACGCCAGGGCTGTCCCCTGGAATGTTCACTCGGACCTTCAACTGCAAATTCAAAAATTGCGCTGGCTGGAGTCGGGACATGGTCCCCAATAACGATTTAGTCCTGCGCACCGAAGAATGGCGGCATGCTTCGGGGAACGTGGAGGCCGACCCCTGGGCGAAGTGGGCGGCCAATGAGCTGTCGCAGCCTTCCCAGGCGGAGATGGAGCAGTCCGAATCGCGTTTCGAGTTGCTGCCGCGTTTTCTAAACTGTGTTCGTCAGGTTATCCACAATTGGCCCCCGGTTGCCTCCGAGCCAGGGGGCAAAGCGCCGGCCAATCCCCAAGTCGGGGCTGCAGCCGCCCCTGGCCCCAAGCCTGTGGCTCGCCCTCCCCGCCCGCCTGCGGTGCAGGGAAATCGAATGGCGCACGATTGGGCCTAGACACGGGGGGATGGGTCTGCAAGCCGCGCAAGACGAGGGCCCTCCTCGGAGGTGCGGAAAGATGCCAGACTCGATGGCAAGCGCTCTAGCAACTCCCTTCTCAAGACCCTCGCTGCAGACAGCCACGATCACGCGTCGGTCGTGGCAGAAAATGATACGGGGGAGAGTTTCCTGGTCGCTCGCAGGAAATACAGAGCCTATGCATGTCCAACCCACGAAGTGCGCACATCGGATGTCCCAAGCGGTTCTCGGACACCCAGAAGTGTGGACTCAAGTACCCATGGGAGCGGACCGGTCAAGGCGAGCACCCCAAGCCTAGGGCCAGATTGCGCCCCTCCATACCAGTTCCTGGCAAGTTTAGCCCAGGGGCAGCAGGAGCAGGGGCAAAAGCGGAAGGGTATGTCGGGGATGGACAGAACCCCCTTTAGCAAAACGTGGTTTAGTGAAAACGACCTCGGGACCAAATCTGGCGGGCGAAAGCCTGGAAACTGACGGCCACGGCGCCCTCTCGAGAACCGAAAACGGACAATTCACTAATCGACGTGTCACTATTGGGGGTTCTGTCCAGCCCCGAGTATGTAGGGCTGGACTCGGTCGGGAGCGTGCGCCCCCCGCGCCGCAGCCTCGTCGGCAGACCCAGCCTCTCTTTCGTGATGAGTGCTGGTCCTCCCCATCCTTTCTCATCCTGAGTGATGGTCCTCCCATCCTTTCTCCTCCTCCTCCTCCCGTTCCTCCTCCCCCTCCGCCGCCGCCGCCGCCGCCTCCTCCTCCTCCTCATCCTCCTCCTCCTCCTCCTCCTCCTCCTCCTCCTCCTCCTCCTCCTTTTGCTCCTGCTCCTGCGCAGACTCGCCCAGTCGCAAGCGTGGCTGTGCATGCCCCAGGTCCCCTCGCGTTGAAAAAATCGCGTCGGGAGGTTTTTCGCTATTTTCGGCCCCTGGGTGCCCTTACTGGGCCTCGGGACCGTCAAAAAACGACTCAGAATGAGAAACAAGTCCCAGAAACGATCGGACCAGTGAGCGGTAGTGGAACCGTGCGGATTGCAAAACTTGTCGGGCGTGCGGCGGTGGCAAAACACTGGTGTCCTTCGGAAGCAAGACGGGAGAGTTCACCGTCTGTCTCACGCACACTCACTTCATCGACGAGGGCGACATCAGAGTCGACCAAGCAGATGTCTGCCAAAGACCGTGAGATTGCCAAGCTCAAGAAGGCCCTAGCACAGAAGGAGTCAGACAGCCCGATGGAGGTGGATATGACGATGATGAGCCGCCCCAACATGATGAAGCAGCACACGAGAGGATCTCTGCAGCTATCAAACCTATTGGCGATCCGAAAGAGCCCCTGTTGGCTAAGTCTGTGCAAGCGATGGCTGCGGAGCACGAACGACTTCGGGCGAAGATCCTGTCAGACAAGCCCACTAGTGCCCAGCTCCATCAACTCACGAAAACAGTCCCTGCGTTGGAAAAAGGAGACGGGAAGACCACAGGCGTCGTTTCAGAAGGTGTCGGGCCAAGCTGCTTAGTTCAGGAAAGCGCTTTCAGAGGCTTTTAAGGAGGCCATCGGACAAACGTCCAGAGAGCTTGTCGACGCGGAATAGGCTCGCAGGACGGCAGCGGCGGCTTTAGGTCCCCAGTGGACTCAATCTTGTGCTTTTGAGCAAGCAAGAGTAAGAGATCGAGTCCTACCAAAAATACTGGACACAGTATGGATTAGAGAAAGGACCAGAATCAGGCACATCCTCCCTTCGCGCCAAGATCCAAGATCTCCGCTCTTGATGTGTTGGTCGAAGACCTGGGGAAAAATATGGCCGGCAATCGAAAGAGATGCAGGTGTGGCTCCGGCGGCGCAGGAAACTCTGTCGCGGCCCTCGGCCTTGAGGCAGCTGCCCGGAGTCGGGCACCGTCGCGAAGCCAGACAAACCCTGCGCCAGGTGGTAATGCAGGAGGCAGCGCAGCATCAGGCGGAGGTACGCGCGCCGCCGACTCAATCCCAGTCCCAGGCGACGATGGAGGCATTCCTGAGCTTTTCAAGCCTTCTACCATGAAGCCTTCGGCCAAGAGCCACCGGAAGCCGAGGAGGAGCTCCAGTCGGCCAAAAAGAGGCTCGGTGACGCCGTCGTTGGACATGCCAAGGAGGCCAGGGTCGGGATTTGGGGGCTGGCGGCGCACTTCCTCCTCCTGCGTGTCGAGGCAGTCTGCGCCACACCTAGATGCAATCCAGATTGCCTGTTTCGGGGAGACGTAAGACTCGGGTACGGGGCACTCGGGTTGGCCTGACGGGGCCGTCATAAAAATGACGAGACCCAATCTGAAATTTGACGCGAGCTAGCGCTCCAAACATCACACGAAAACCGGACCGTCAAAATCCAAGACGCGCTCGTCAGACTCGAGTCTCACGTGTCCCCGGCTGATGCGACGCACGGCGCCGAATACTTCCACTCCGTCTGGTGGGTGGGCCACCACGCCGCCTCCGGCGACGTCGACGAGCCGGCGGCCCGACGCAGGGCCCGAGAGGGCCGTCGCCCTCGGCGGTCGATGCCGCGAGAGCCGTGGCCCCGCCGAGTTCAAGGGGCCCAGGGACACACAAATGAATACACACAGATAAAAGGATTCCCCATATCTTCCCATATTTTCTGGGTTTTTGTCTTCCCCCCCACTTCCCAAATGTTCCCATATTTTCTGGGGGATCGACGATTAACTGTGTCTGTGTTTTTTTCCCTCTTGACAAGTCGCGGACGAATCCTGTCAGAGGCTCAGTTGAAGGCGGAAGCGTAAGTTCCTCCTCTTCCTCAGTGGCGCTGGCTTGTTCGTCGGCGCGGCCTGGCGCGCCGAGCATGTCCATGTCGGCGCACGGCAACGGCAGCCTCACTTTCAAGGTTGATGGACAGTTTCTGCACCGGCTGCGCCGTCTGGCACGCAGACGATGTCCTACGTACCCAGTTGTCGGTCCGACAGGGCGGATGGGAAGAATTGCGTGTCATGTTCTGCGCAACATCCTCATAACGGTGGCGGTGGTGGCGACGCTCTCTGTTGTGCTTCTGGTGGCGAGGCTGACAGCGCGCGTACGTTGTGCGGAGTCATCACTGCTAAGACCTCTTTGTCGGGTAGCAAGGCGAAACCCGAAATCTTCGGAGACGAAACCCGAAAACCAGCCACGAAACCCGAAAACCAAGAACGAGCGGAATCCGAAGGTCTCCCCGGAGGCGAGACCCAAAACTCCGACGGAACACCAAGCCAAAAAACCGGGAAGGGCAGGCCCAAAAACTCCGGTTCAGGCCGGGCTCCTCCTTCCTCGTCCCTCTACCCGGCACGCGGCAACGCCTGCGGGACAGAAAGTGAAACTATTCTGCTTGACTCGCCACGCGGCAAACGCCTGTTGGGCGAAAAATATGCTGCAACGTGGCAACGCCTGCGGAACGGAAAACCATGTTATTGCATACGAGTGGTCATGTGGAAGCGAATGGCAAGCGAAACAAAAACTACTCCATTCCACTCGCCACGGGACACCGGCCGGGAAGCGAAACTGATACTGGTCCAATCCACGGAGGCCCCCAGGGGCCCAAAGAAAGCCAAGAGCGTCCACGGTCATCGATCCTCGAGAAAAGAAAAAGAAAAAAACAAAAAACAAAAAAAAAAAAAAAAACAAAAAAAAGAGAAAGGCGGAGGAGGGAGGCAGTCGACTGTCTGGGCGGACGCCGCGCAGGCCCGTCGTGATACTGGAGGAAGTCCCAGGCCAGGCTAGCGAGCAGGTTGGTGTCGGACTGAACGCTATCGACGCTCGCCCTGCTCAACCTCCTAGTCGAAGAGGGGGGTCCAGGCGAGGTGAGGAGGCAGGGAGGTAGACTTCGGTAGATAGTTGGATGGGTGGAGCCCGAAAAGGTCAGGGAGCGAACACTCCAAAAACGAGCCCATGGGAGCCGAGTCCCGATCGGCGATGCACACCCGAGGATAGCTGTGCCCCCCCCCCTCGCCCTGCCATGCGCCATCGAAGTCGATTGACGGGTCCTCTTGAATCCGCAGTTTGGACGACAGAGATTCCATGATCAGCCTGTCTGCAAGGATTCTACAAAATCATTTGGCGGCGCGCAGAGGGTATGGGGGATGGGGAAGGTTTCTTAGAAGGAGGCCGCTTCTTGGAAGGCGCTGGCCCTACATCCCTAGACAAGGCCCGCGCCTTCTAGGAAGCAGGGGTGCTTCCAAGAAGCCTTCCACCCCCTACCCCCTCTGCCCCCCTCTGCGCGTGGCCGAACCATTCCAGCGCCCGGTGAGGGAGGCCGGGCCCCCGAAATCGGTGGCACCGTGGTCCCCCCATCGTGGCCCCTCCTGGTGGAGGAGGCGGAGGAGGAGGAGGAGGGGCAGGAGCAGGCGGAGGCGGAGGCGGAGGCGGAGGCGGAGGCAGAGGCGGAGGCGGCGGCAGCGGCGGCGACGGAGGAGGAGGAGGAGGCGGCTGAGGAGGAGGAGGAGGCGGCTGAGGAGGAGGAGGAGGAGGAGAAGGAGGACCCCCCACCGTAGCCCCAAATCGCCGCCCACAATCGTGGACGGTGCAACTCTGCTTCGAGGTCTTACTATCACGCCGCCAGGGGGTCCGTCGCCATCTGCATGTGCTGGGGGCTACGCTGGACCACCTGCAATCCAATTCGCCTGCCCAAAGGGCCAGAGGCGCGCTAAGATCTCTGGTAACTGGTTAACAATATTTCTAGTTCGTGCGCGCGGAGCGGCCTCCGGGGGCCCCCGGACGCAAAGTACCCCGGCCAGGTCCTGGTCAGGTCCCGGTCAGGTCCCAAGAGCGCTCCAAGGGAGGGCCATTTTTCGACACCCCTCACGAGGATCGTGGCCTCCGAGGGGGGAGCCGCAATCGACCGACCCCCCTCCCGACCCAAGAGGCCCCCAAGAGCCCCCCGAGAGGCCCTGGGGCCCCCAAGACGCCGCCAAGGAGCCCCAAGAGACTCCCAAGAGGTCCCCAAGAGGCCCCCAAGAGGCCCGAAAGAGGGCTCCAGGGCCGGCGGAATGAGCGAAGCGATTTATATAAGAAGTCGTGGAGTCCTCCCCGCGGCCTGCTCATTCCGCCGGCCCGGGGGCCACAGCTGCGGAATGAGCGCTCTTTGGCCATCATGTTCGCTTCAGAATACAGCTCCTTGGAAACGTCCGTCTTCAAGGCGCCGCCGGCCTCTCTCAGAGGCCTCTCCAGGAGCTCACTGACTCGATTTTGGAGGCCTCCAGACGCTCTACTGGGGCGATCTTGGCCGTGCTCCAGGCCATTTTGGTCCAGTCTGGCAGCCCGCCCACCTCTCCTCGGCCCACTTCGACTACAAAAAACCAACACGCAAAAAAAACCTCGTAAAACACATATGATTGTGTCCTTTCTGGCCTTCTCGAGCCTCTATTCTTGCCTCGTTTCGAGCTCACGTGCGTCTTCGCGGGCTCTTGGAAGCACGTTGGAACCAGCGGGCGCTCTCTGCGGCTGTCCTCCACGCCTCCCGACCCCGGCCTGGGCCGTCTGGCAGCATTTTGGGGGTTTTCTTGGGCCGCCCTGGGCGCGCCCAGGGGGTCCCGGGAGTCCCTTCTGAGGCCCCCAAACTAACTCGCATTTCGTTTGTACGCCTCACCGTATGCCTCTTCCTTTCGTCCACACTTTTGCACACCCTCAGGCGTCCTTTTTAAATCATGTTCAGACTCTCTTACGGCTGTCTGGCGTTTTTTTAGGTCATTATCCGGCTCTCTTGGGGTTTTCTGAGAGCCTTTAAGACCCCACTTTCGTATTTTTCCAGGCCCTTTGAGACCTTATTGTCCAATCTGGCGTCTTTTTCAAGTTATTTTCCGGCCCTCTTGGGGCTTTCTGAGAGTCTTTAAGACCCCACTTAACAAAAGCCCAGCCAAAGCTAAGTGAACACCCCCGCTACATCCCGATTTGCCCCCCACACAACCTCCGAGTTCCAAAAAAAAGTGGGGCGGCGGTGTCTGCCCCCTCAGGGGCGTTCAATTATATAAGAAGTCGTATCTTCTGGTTCGCGCGCGTGTGGCTGCCTCCTTGGGGGTCCCCCACCAGCTGTACGCGGGCAGCTTACGCGAGATGTCGGAGCAGACGACACCATTATTTTACGTCGCCCAAGTGGGACCACTCCGTAAATCCAGAGCCCCCCAAAAAAACAGAGCTCCCCTCAACAGCTCGAGGAGCTCCCCTCAGCAGCACGCGGGCAGCAGCTCACGCGCCAATGTCGGTGAAGACAATCCCGTTTCTCTACATCGCTCACACGGCTCCAGGTAGGCCCCGAACAATGTCCAAAGAAGCCTCCAGGACGCAGCCCACACGACCACCAGGCCTCCCCAGACAGCCAAGTGGCCTCCAGCAGGATCTCCAGAGGCCCCCGAGAGAGCCACGAGTAGGCTGCAAGTGGCCGCAAGGCACGCTCCCGAGATAGGCTTCTAGTGCCTCCGAGATCGCCAGGGATAGCCCGAGAGATCCCAGAAACGCCTCAAGACGGCCCAAAGATCCCCCAAGACACTCCCACGAAAGGCCCAGGAGGCACTCCAGAGGGCTCTGGATACACCCAAGACAGCCCCAAGAGCGCAGAATGCCCGTGGGAGACGACGACGATGACGACGACGACGACGACGACGACGACGACGACGACAACAAGGCAGCGACGAAAGCAGCGACGACGACCTCGACGACGACGATGAGGACGACAATGCCGCCGACGACGACGACGACGACGACGACGACGACGACGACGACGACGACGAGGCCGACGACGACGACGACGACAAGGAAGCGACGACGGCGGCGACGAAGACATCGACAACAAAGACGACGACGACGCCGACGACGACGACCCACGACGATGACGACGACGACGACGACGACGCCGACGAAGACGACGACACCGACAACGACGACGACAACGATGCCGACGACGACGAC